CTGCCTAAGTGTAAAACCGAGTCCAGAGAGGATACTTTGACGTGCTATCCCAGGCGGGTGATTGAGCTTCGAGTTAGGGGCTTCATACCCCATGAATCTATGCACTTTAATCTACAGAGAAGAGGCGTTGGATGATTGAAAGTGCACCTGGAAGTCATCAGTCGAAGGCCTCAAAGTTTGCATCTAGGCTGTTGGTGACGTCGAGCTGCAGAAAAGAGTTTCTTTCCTTAAGTGTTTCGGATTGCTATTTCCTTTTGTGTTTCAGCTTAGGTTTTCGAGTTGTAATAGGATTATGACGATTTCCCTTGTTCACGAGGCTAGCTAGGTTCTATTTAAGCTTTAGTTTGTGTTGTAATTGAACCCACGTTTTAATCAATTCAACTTTTGTGTTCATCGAGTCATTCTCGTGAATTGTCCTTGGTTGTGTGGAATTGATTCCACCGAACAAGCGAGCTCAGCATCGGTCGATCATCACCTCGATCGTGGACGAGTTGCGACGATAGTTCGATCGAGCCTCTTCCCAATTCTTGGCGAGAAGTTGCACGTTCGGCATCCATCTTACCATCAACCCCTGTTTTGGCTTCCATCGGAGCTCAGTTGTTGTGAATTCTCGAAGCTGCTCGACACTGATCAAGAAGCTCGAGGGTTGGATCTTATTAGGTCGCAACTGCCTCATAAACTCAACATTGTCCACCTTATGGATCAGAGTAAGCCAGGTATGATTAAGTCTTCAGAGCATTTTACTCGTCGCAAAGAATGAGGTAACTGCATAAATTACTGAAGGCCCCACAACATCCCAAAAGGCCTTAAAAATTTTCCCTGTGAAACCATCAGAGCCCGGAGCTTGTTTAGATCCCATCGAGAATACCGTATCTCGAATTTCCTGAGGGAGAACTTCAGCTGTGAGGCCAGCATTCATCGCTGGCGTAACACAGTGAGAAATGGGGAGAGAGGCCACTCGAGCCAAAATATCCGACACTCGATTCTCTGAGGTGAACAGAGTCTGATAAAAAGTATTGGCAATGGTAGCCTTCCCATTTTCCGTCGTAACCCATTCACCTTCATCACTCCTAAGGCCGGCAACAAAATTACGCTTCCTAAGAGCTCTGGTGACCTTATGAAAATAAGTCGTGTTCTTAGGGTGGATTAATTTAATCCTATCAATTTCAGCTTGGAGGGTTCGGATATTTCCTCAACAAATTAGTAGTGTCAGCCCTGCTCCAGTCATACAGCAGATGACAGAGTTTCTTTAAGCGCTCCCATAGTCAAAACATCGGATTGCCCTGGATCTCCTCCTGCCAGACAAATTGCACCATAGCCCTAACCTCCGGATTATCCGCCCATCGGGCGTCAAAACGGAACAGGGGTCAGCTATTACGGGCATAAGGTTTGTCAGAGAGAAGAAGGGCTCGATGGTCAGAACCTTGGTCCTTAAAATGTTTTACTAGGGTTACTGGGAATAGATCCACCCATTTCTAGGAGCATAAAGCTCTATCCAATCTAGCGCGAATGCATGCCATACCCATACATTTATTTGCCAAGTAAACTGGTCACCAAGAAATCCGGGGTCATGAAGGCCCAGATTTTGAACAAAATCACGAAGGCTCAGGGCGTGAGGAGTATTCCAAGGAAGCCCACCATCTTTTTCTCCCGAATTAAGAGTAACGTTAAAGTCTCCTATGATCACATAGGGAAGATGGATATCCGCACAGATGTCAAGAAGTTGGTCCAATTGGGAAGTACGAATCGCCCCATTACAACTTATATAAACTAAAATCACCACATACGAGAAATCACTTTCATTGATTCGAACACAAATACAGAAATTGGAATGAAAAAAAAACTGAGGCATCAATCCCCGGGGACCAAGCAACAACTACCTCCACCGTTTCCAGTTCATCTTTGTCTTCCACAAACAGTTTTTTAGGTGATGGGGAGTCAGCAATATCTCCATTAACATCATCAATCCGGCGTTTCTTACCCTCCTCCTCAGGTTCACATAAATTGGAACCGTATTCATTAAAGGTCTTGTCATTAAGATCACTTCCATTTGGCACTCCCTTATCCGCCACCATGTCGTCCAAAGTGAGTGGGTGTTGCAACCCTTGCCCATTGATTGGATCACTCATGGTGAGCCCAGCCTCAAATGCCTTCACAACCTTACGCACGCGGGACGATTGAGCCAACCGCTTGAATTTCCCCTTCACCTGCGTCTCCCGGTGGCGAATCTCAAAGGGTTGCTCACTAGAACCTGATAACGACTCCTCCGATTCCACCACCCCATTGATTGCATCGGCTGGTTGGGGGCATAAGGGCTCCACCAGAGCTGGCGAATCCGCCGCCAACACCTCGGCCCTCTTCTGATCTGTATGAGAACAAGACAACCCATCATTTTTGGAGCTGTTGTTTGTGGCAGCGAGAGCCCGCCGTTTACGTGGCTGTTGGGCATTGGGCCTCACCTTCCTTGGAGCTTTCTGTGGAGAACAATCTCCCTTCACATTTTCCCCCTTTTTTTTATTTGACACAAGGTTTCGCACAGAGGAAGGAGCGCCGCCAGCATTATTGGCTAGCTCAGCAGTCTTAGCAATCTGAATAGTCTCACTCAAAGGGCACGCCAGAGTGGGACTAGGGATATTTTGAATATGGAACTCATCTTCTGATTCTTCTTCCAAAATAAGCCTGCGTCGCCGTGTCATTTGCGGTTCAGCATCCCCTTTCGGCAATTCCATAGGAACGTTGTCACTTGCCTTCTTCAATTTGCCTCGACGACTTTGTCTCCCCAAGTGGATCTTCAGGGGTTTCGTGATCTGGACACGAATCAGATTCCTCCCTACTTGATTCCGCGCTTCAGTCGTCAAGAAGGGCTGGTCGAGGTTCCCATCAACAGCGGCCTCTCTTCAATCGCAGACCTCGTATTAATCTCAGCCTCCCTCCTGTTCATGTCAGACGAGGGTCGTTGCAGCCTAGCTGACGCATCCCGACGGTTTTGTGCAGCAGTATTAATCCAAACAAATTTGGGATTGCCATGAAAGGCTGGCACGCCTTCCTCCTCCTAAAAAACCCTCCTTCCCAACTTCTTGATCGACATGTGATGGCCAAACCTTTCTTTTCGAGTGGGAGGATCGAAGGAGCAGTCTTGGCGGGAGTGCCCAACCCGGCCGCAGCTATAACAGAAACTGGGGAGATATTCGTACTTAAGCCGAATCCAGAACTCGCCTGTCTCTTCATTAGTTGCCATATCTTGGGAGCGAAGAGGTTTGGAGAAGTCTATAAGAGCTTTGATTTTTATAAATCAGTGACCCGAATCTGTGCACGAGTACACCCCCGACTCCAAGACTCGACCGAGCGTAGCGTTCGCCACAGTCCGTCCAAACCGTTGAGTACAACACTCCTCTTGGACATCCCACAACTGAACCCGGAATGGAGCAATAGCAAGCTCGTCGAAGGTACGTTGTGTGATGTTGGGAACCCAAGGCCGGAGGTGTAGGATTTTATCCGAAATAACCCAGGGGCGATTGTTTGAGCACCCATTGTTTGGCCGTTTCATTGGGAGCACAAACTCAAAGAGACTGTGAGCAATCGGCCTCACCCTGATTCGGCCTTGACCTTGCCATGGCTTGTTGATTGACTCGTGAAGTTCGACAGCCGAGACTCTGCTATCAGTAAACAGGCGACCAATGAGAGTCCTAGTCCAGTTAAGATAAGGATCAATAACTCCTAATCTAAGAAGTACGAGCAATGTTGACTAAACTTGTATACCTTTTCCATTAACGACTTGGAATCCGGGTTGCATTAGGATTTCATGTTCAATGTACGAAAGTAGGTTACCTTCAAAATTTTACTCCGAGTAATACCTAAATCTGCGCATCAACTTAGTAATCCTAGTCCAACAAGGAATATCAATCCATAACGAATTTCTAGTTATATTAGGGAATTGATTTGATTATTATCCATTTTATTTTTAGGTGCTTCTTCATTCTTCAAAGAGTATTCTAAGTTAGATCCATAAGGTTTCGAAAAACAACAAATGATCTACAAGGTTGTACAATATTAGTGACATCTAACATCACATTGTTACCATCAAAGTGATGAGAGTTTAAGGATTGAACAATTCGAAGTTCTATATACAAGTTTCTCAGTCACATGTCGCTTTGTACTTGTTGCAACTGAAATGATTCCATGACATTACAATGTCTATCACAATAAAGATGAAATTAGTATAAAATATATCAAGTTATTTGCGTGTGAATGCATATATTCAGAGGTGAAAAATCATAAACAATGAACAAACTCGAAAATATTTTTCATCTACCAAGAAGGTCGAATCTTCGTAGTATACCCAACAAATAATCACATACCATACTATAAGAAAATATCATTGGCATGTCTACCAATCTAATAAATGTGTCACATAAGTTATCTCACCCTCTTTTTCCCTCTTCGTGGGGTTCACATCTCCATGTATCAAAATCTCAATTTACTAGAAAATAGTCCGATTGTGCTAATAAGTCAACCAAGAACTTGCTTTAATGAAAAGAATTAGACATAATGCATGCCAGCCATTCTCCCCTTTTGACCTCATCACTTCACCATTAATCTTCAATCCAATCCCTAATCCCTAATCCCCATTCCCCACCTTTCCCGCTCTGTAAAACAGAATTCCCTAACTACCAAAAAACCATTTCTGTTCCTTCTTCTTAGATTCCACCATCGCCATTTTTGGCAATCGAGTTGCAGACCTCCGCTTCCAAAAATCCATTACCGTAAGCTGTAGTCAGTGTGGATATAGTCCAAGTCCACCCCAACTTTCCAGCATCAAATTCCGGTCACCATCACCTACCTCTCCACCGCTAATCTCGCCTATCATCAATCCTCACTTTCCCTTTCTTCAATTCCTGCTCTCTCTCTCTCTCTCTCTCTCTCTATTTACTCCACTTTCCAGACTACACTTCCCCATCCTTTTCTTCTTCTTCTTGAATTCCCATTCCACCACCACCGCCATGCCTCTCCTTCTACTGCTCTTCTTCTTCCTCCTCCGCTTCTTCTCTTCTTTCCAATCAGCTCTCTCCGCCGCCCCCTTTGGTAATTCCCACTACTGCAATGCTTGCTTGCTGTTAATGGCTTTCTTTTTGTTTGTTTCTTGTTTGTTTGATGCCTTCTTTGCTTTCTTGTGTGTGGTGGTGGAGCAGATATTGCCTACCACATTGATTGCGGCGGCCCCACCAACGTCACCGATCCGTTCAACACCACCTGGCTCGCCGACCGCTACTACACCGGCGGATCCACCTCCGTCGTCTCCGAGCCACTCCACTTCCGCCACCCGCAGGAGAAGACACTCCGCTACTTCCCGCTCTCCTCCGGGAAAAAGAACTGCTACATTCTCCCTCTCCCTTCCGGCCGCTACTACTTCCGCACCTTCACCGTCTACGACAACTACGACGGCAAGTCCCACTCCCCTAGCTTCGACGCTTCACTGGAAGGCACTCTGGTCTTCTCCTGGCGCTCCCCCTGGCCAGAATCCCTAGCTCGCGACGGCGCCTATTCCGATCTCTTCGCCTTCGTCAAGGACGGGGAGGCGGATGTCTGCTTCTACAGTATCGCCACTGACCCGCCCGTAATTGGCTCACTCGAAATCCGCCAGGTCGATCCGTTGTCCTACTCCGCCGCCGATCTTGGTGACCGTTTTATTTTGGTCAACTACGGCCGATTGTCCTGTGGGAGCGACCAATGGGGGCCGGGTTTCACCAACGACGTCGATTACTTCGGCCGATCGTGGCAGTCCGACGAAGAGCTCCGCACTCCCAACACCTCCAAAATTGTCCGCGTCGTCTCCACCAGGGAGTCGATTTCGGGAGTCAATCAGGCGCCGAATTACTTCCCGATGAAGCTGTATCAGATGGCGGTTACCGGGAATGGAGTGCTGGAGTATGAAATTCAGGTGGACGCGAAGATGGATTACTTGCTGTGGTTCCATTTCGCTGAGATTGACTCCAGCGTCAACAAGAAGGGGCAGAGAGTCTTCGATGTGTTGGTGAATGAGAAGAACGCCAGCAGAGTCGACATATTTGCGCAGGTGGGGAGCTTCGCAGCTTATAGTTTTAGCTACACTGTGCATAACTTGAGCAGCACTACTCTGAGCGTGAAGCTGGTGCCGGTAGCTGGTGGCGCGCCTATTATAAGCGGGATTGAGAATTACGCTCTTGTTCCCAATGATATCGCCACTTTGCCCGAGCAAGGTATGATTGAACGGCTTTTGCTACTTGGTTCTGCTGCACTCAGTCAGTTCAAATTGGGTTTTCTTCTTTCTTTGAAATCATCGAATTGCATGTTACTTAGTTTCTTGAGGTAGGGTCATGCATGGATAACGGTGGAGAAAGGTTGGCAATGAAGGCTGTTCTTGTTCTCAGAATTGTAGTTCACTGATCAGGTGTTTCTGTTTGTTTGTAGTGACTGCCATGAAAGCATTGAAAGACTCTCTCCGAGTTCCTGATAGGATGGGTTGGAATGGTGATCCTTGTGCTCCCACGAACTGGGATGCTTGGGAAGGGGTTACATGCCGTCCAGACATTAATGATACCGGCCTTGTCATATCCCAAATGTGAGCATTCTCCGACTTCCTGGATCTAGTGCGTGTGGTCATGGTTTTCGTCCTCGCTCATTTTACTTCTGTTCTCCTACATTATTTCAGAGATCTTGGGAGTCAAGGCCTTAAAGGGTTCATAAGTGATCAAATCAGTCTCCTTACGAATTTGGTAAGCTTGTAAGTATCTGCTACCAACATTCTAATGAACTTTTGACTTTGTGACAGTATAGCTTAAAATGGAAACATACTTATAGGAATCCTATTTCTACAATTACTGTTAGAGGCAGTTGTCTGTTATTACTAGACTTTTCCTTTTGGAATTCCAACAAATAAACTTCGCATGCTAGTCACTATCCTTCATTATCTGCTTTCTACTGCTAGCTTTCTCAGTACAGAAAGGAAGCATAAGAAGTGATCAGGTTTACTCAAAAGGGAACTTACCACCCCTCAGCTTTCTCTGTAGAAGCCGATGTTAGATTCTGACACAGTTTTGAGAACTTCAGTTTTCTATTTGAATCGAAAATTTATATGCATCCAGTGTAGCTAAATAATTATAATTGCATAATGTTCTTCAAATATACAGGAATATGAGTGGCAATTCATTGGGAGGAAACTTACCTGATGGGCTCGGTCATAAATCTCTCGTACGGCTGTAAGTAGCATGCAGTTAATGCTCAGTTTGATGTTATTTGCTTGAGTTTCTTCGAAGTTATTATGTCATAGGAATAAGTTTTTTGTCCTCTGGCAACACATTTTAAGATGAAGTTTCTGATTTTGTATTCTGGATCTGTTAACAGTAAGCAAACATGGCAGGCATTTTATTTTGCTTATCTGCTTTTGGATTAATGTTAAACAGATAGAAGGTTACCTTAACATTGAAGTATATGTAGCTTAGCAGCTCATCCTTCTCTCGTGCAGCTCATGTAATGATACCAGTCGTACTTTGCTTGCTGGAAACTGAAGTCAGGCCAGGATATATCACATTAGTTCGTTTGCTTTTTCACAAACTACCATCTAGGCCCTAGCTTCTCTGATGTTCTAGTATTTCTACACTTCAATATTAGTAAACTTGATTTGTTTGTCAAATTCTTCTTGCCGCTTTGGTTGATAATGGATATCTGAGGCTCCCATGTCGTGACTTGGGGGTTAATAGATGACATAACTCTTTTGTATCTAGTCATACATACTTTAGCTATCATTTGATGTAGTCACAATTCTGAAGCCAAACTCACTATGAAGAGCATTTGCTTAATTATGTGACTTTTTTGTATGCTTGCTTATGATTTGGGTTTATCCTGTGTAGGGATTTATCAGACAATCAGTTCTCAGGTCCCATACCAGAAAGTTTAACTTCTTCGAGTCTGAAATTAATGTAAGTTTGTCTTCTTGTATTGGTTACTCTGTATTACACTTCTATATCTCCAATGCATGTTTGCAAAATCTTACATAAATTTAAATGAAATTCAAATTTTATGGTGTCCATTTGATTCATTCTGTTGAACCCTTCCTTTGCCGTAAAGTGTGGTGATTGGATGGTGACTTGTTATAGTGGCTTGGCAACATTGTATTATCTTTTTGAGATAGAATGGCATAATCTGCTGTTACATTTCTATCACATTCATTCATAGCACTGAATTGAAACTCAAATAGAAAGTGTATGAAAGAATATATTGCTCAATGAATTCAGTGTTGTTATACCTATCCCATACGAGGACATACTGTTGAACCCTTCCTGCGTTTGAAAACCTGTTTAGCACATTTGCAATAAGATGAAGCATAGAGCTGCTTTACTGGTCCTTAGACAATTTGAATGTATTGTAATTCATGGGTGAATGAATTACCTCATTCAGTGGGAGAATGGAAATGGATGGGCTCAGCCAGATTTTTACTGTTTCTGTTACCCTTTGTTAAGTCATCAGTAGATTACCTTTAATTGCTGGAACTTTGTCATACTCCTTTGGCTATTGGATTGACCTCGTAACTCTTTTTCCAGGTTATTGAATGATAACCTATTAGAAGGGCGAGTCCCAGAAGAACTTTATTCTATTGGTATGCATGGTGGATCCATCAAGTAAGTTCTTTCTGCAATGTTTCACAATATGTAATATTCTGAAATATTTTCTGAAACTATCAAATCATAAGCGTCGCGTAATATTATGTGATGTATTGAAGTTAGTTCTTTTTCTCAACCGTCTTTGACATTATGGCACCATCCTGCAAAGTTTATTGTAAAAGAGAAAGATCACAAGGTCACCATGCAATATTTTCCTGTCAGTCTTAGTGTCCCTTTAAATTCTAGCCATGTAATTTATCTCAGGAGGCTAGCCAACTATAAAATTTGAGTCCATTGCTGACTAGCCTCTGTTGATACAGAAGTCCGTTGTATATACATCTACCATATTCTTCATACGGGTTTGTCAGAAACATTCACTTTCCTTTTGCAATGGAAAGCTCTAAATCAGACCCAGTTAGGCAAGGAAGTGCCATTTGTAGCATTTTCGTGTTCATTAACTGAGACCATAATTGATTTGTCAAAAAAACTGAGACCATAATTCTATTGTGGTATATTTACCCGGTGTGTTTCTGTCCAAAAAACTATGGACTTTCGAGTCCTTTTTTCTCATCTATTGTCTAAGAGGTGAGGTGACTTCATATGGAGCAATGCAGGGTCTAGGCTGATGGTAAAATCACTGCCATGATTACCATTAAAGCTACTTGGCTATGGTGCTCCCAGAGCCCATAATTGCTCATAATCTTTTACAAGTTGGGACTTGGGTCATCAGTAGTACAGCTGGGCCATTGGATAGTGTAGCTTATTCCTTATACATATATTACGTGGTTCCATTGTAAGGTTATTTTTTTTGTTGGTATCACCCTCGTTACCTTTAAGATACTTAAAAGGTTCCATTTAAAATGTTTCATTTCATTACTGAATGAAAGAGGACCTTGGTTTTGCAGCCTTTCAGGTAACAAAGCCTTGTGTGGTGTACCCTCATTACCAGACTGCTCCTTAGTGTGGGAAAATGGTCATTTATCCAAGGGTGGCAAAATCGGTATCGCTATAGCTTGTGTTGTGGTATTCCTTGGGATTCTTTTCGTGATCTACATATGCTGGATCAGAAGGACTAGACATGATTATGACTTTGCTCCACCTCATGACCTAATGTGTAAGTATTTTAAAAAATTCCAAGTTTGTTTCTTTAATTTGCATATATGATATCTGGAACATTTCAAAGCTCAAATTTCCATGTTATAGCTAGTTTAGTGACTATCATCGGGTTAAACTATAGGACCTCTTGAATTTTTTGTGTTTGTGGTGTTTTCATTTTGCTACATCTGAAGCTTCAGATATCAATAGGTAGTTATTATATTAAGAAGATACCAAGATCTGTTATTGACTACCATAAGTTGACAGTGAGAGATAAGCTACTTGGAAGCATTGTGGAGAGTAAGTAGGTTAGTGGCCACTCTTATGAAAACTTCAGAGTCTAAGTAGTGGGTAAATCCGGCTTGAAGATGATTGTTAAAGCGAATAAGCTTTTATAGTCTCCAAAAGGTGGCATAGATTTCTCTGTCTGTGTTAATCCAGGAACTTTATCAATGTTGGTTGCTTGCCATAGAAATCCTCTACAGACGTTGAATAGCCGTGAATTCATTATTGCTGGTTTATTGTGGTAGAACTTTTCCTGCTGTAGTCATGTTGAATAGACATTAACCATTCCAGGTCGAAGGCTGTCATCTGCTACCCTTTTCTTTCAACGATTCCTGTGCAATCGAATTCTTTCTTTCTAATAGCTTTTCTCGGTAATTTGAAAGCCATGTTCCGGCCCGGATGTTTTCGGGAGGCCCCCAATAACCAACTAATGGCAACTGACCAAACCTTGATTTTGAGATTTAGTGTGGCAAGATTCGTTGTAGCATGGAGTTTTTTAACACGTTGATCGTCTAAGCTCAATTCATCTTTATAAAGGCAGATGACTTGTTATTTGTCTTTGCATGCATATCTGACCATGCATAACTAATGTCCTTGTTGCTCTATTGGATATATATCCTAGTATTCCCGACCAAAACCAGCAGATAATACAAATAGTCAGAATTACGAGCCTGAATATGTCCCAAATTTTGCTTTCCAAATCATATTAAGAACTGTAATCACAGAAAGGTCTTGCCTGTTAGGTACAGCCCTAGAGATTGAAGCAGAGTAGATACATTCAAACATGTTAAGAAAGAGGCTTCTTTGCTGAATTTTTGTTCAGGCACAGAATATGAAATACGGCAACTCACTCCCTGCTCCTGAAATTTTGTGCTATTGTTTTGCAGCAATGGCAGCAAAAAGGAACAGATACCAAAGACAGAAGTCGTTGATGCTTCTGGAAATGGAGAGTCAACATGCTAAGGCATTATCATCACCAGGTCCCAACTAACAAACCTGGTCGTATAGTATATCCGAAGAGGTAAAACATATTCATCTATCTGCGCAACATCCCAGCACAACTCAAATCGAACAATGGAGGATGAGAAGGAACCGAGATGGCAGGGGAGGGGACCCAGAATGTGACAAGTAGAAAGTTCTTGGCCAAGAAAAAGCAAGGTTCCGTTTGAGCTGTAAGATCGATGAGATGATAATGACCTTGCTTCCTTCCCTTCCTTCGCCAGTTTTGGAATCTGTTGCATGGGATGGGGCCAGTGAAAGTCGCATGGATACAACCTTTATACAAATAACACACAGAAAACTGTCTTTTTTGTTTTTTGGTAGAACAGAAAACTGTCTATATGTGGATGATGATACTATGTATCTTGCACTGATTTTTTTTAGTTTGCCTAGATTCCCCCACTGGCCGTGGAAAGCAAATTGGATAAGGCTTCCCATTCTTCTGTAACTCACCACCACACCATTGTGCGCCTTTTTTGGGGACTGTTGCTGTTGTGTAATGTCAATTGTCAGCATCCTGTAGTCTCATCTAGAAAATGGCTTTGCACATTTTCTTTGCTCTTTTGATTGCTTTGCTGCTCATATTCTTGCCTGTCACTTTGTTTTTTTTTTTTCTAATGGAACCCTAGGTGACAGTTTGATTGACCTAGAAGAAACAGTGTAATTACTGATTACTTTGTTTTTTTTTCTTTTTTGCCACGTGTTATTACTTTGTTGTTTGCAATATTTTATATATTAGGCCTTCTGTTTGTCCATGAAGGCATATGGGCCTGTTCCCCAATCCAGGGATATGTGTTTCATAGTGAGACAACTTGATCCGAATATTATGGCCCATCCCATTTTGTGGGAAAGCTTGATCGAAAAGCAATTTGGGGGAGACCCGTTTAGGTGAAATTAATTGAAAGAAAATTACTTTCTTGAGTTGTAGATCCACAAAATATGTCATGCCTAGAGTCCTAAATAGTACACAAGTTGATTAGTTGAGTTTTTTCTCTCTGACTCCGGAGAGTTCCCTCTGTCTTCTCACTTAACTCTGGTGGTGAAATTTCATCTTCTCACTTGTTTGGATCGTGTTTTCTTCGTCACAGATCATCTCCTGATTCTGTTTCACTCCATCCTCTTTTCACTCTGTTCCCCTGCCTCCCCTGTCCCGTGGTTTTCTTTCTGTGGTTCCTCTCCCTTGTCACCGCCCTCTGCTCCCGCCTCTGTCTGTTGGCTGTCCCCGAAGTTTCATTTTTGTTGATGTTTGCCTCTTATCGGAGGTCCTGCACCAACAATGGAACATGAGATAGCAAAAAAGCTATCGAGTATTGAATTAACTGAAGAAGAAGAAGAAACGACCATAAGTTTCGAAGAGACTATTGCTACTGAAGGAGTCGAAGAAGCCATTAGAGAACTGGGCCTTGCTGGAAAAGTCATTAAGGGCTCGCTACCATATGCTCGTATCCTCAAGAGGATTCTTAGTGAAGCCTAAACTGAGGAAAGATTTCTATCTACAAGTTACAAAAGACGAGGTTTTGAGTATTCAACTCTACAACTATGATGAAGATAAGAACAAAGTCCTCTATGGAGGACTGGCATTTAGAGCGTCAGCTTCTGATCTTCAAGAAAGTACCTCCTGATATGGATTTGACAAAACTGGATTTTTCATGGGCTGATTTCTGGGTTCGCATTAGGAAGTTCCCTCTGAATATGAGAAACGTCCAAATGGCGGAGAAAGTCGGAGCTATGTTTGGAAGCTTTATCCGTTGGGATGAGCTGCACTCCGGAGTCGTAGTGACTATTTACGTATCAGAGTGTCTGTGAGTGTGCAGAAACCTCTATGAAGGATTGTCAAAATGCAAAGTAAAGACGGCCCGGTGTCATACAGAGTAGGTTATGAGAGGTTACCTATTTTCTGTTTCAAGTGCGGATTGCTTGGTCATCTCAAGAAGTCTTGCCCCCTATTGCTGGAAGGAGAAGCTGATAAGGAAGATCCTTATGGTCCCTGGCTGAGAGCTGAGCCCCCCCCTGAAAAAGATGTCTCTGAAAGAAAAAGACAAGCCTCATCAGCTAGTAAAATTGTGGAAGGAAGTTCAGGCAGAGGAAAGATCAAATCGGAAGAAGACTTTGGAGGTAAAGCAGTTGGAACAGCAAGCAGAGAAAGACGAACAAGTTGAAAAGCAAGCTGAGATTCTCACTAAAGAACTACTGGTTATCAAGTTTAATGATTCTACGGTGGAAAAGGCTGTTGAGAAAAAGCAAGGGGATGAGAGTAAGGTTGGCCACCAGAGCCCAACTGGAAAGCAGAATTCTGATTAGATAGGTGAGGGTGAGGGTACCTCTGAAGCAGCGGCTGCAAAAGACAAAACACATAGCAATGAAAGCGTGATTATCAGTGGACAAACAAGCAACGGACGAAATAACAAAGGAGGGAAAAAATGGATTCGAGTGGATAGAAAGGCCCCTGATTCTCAAAAGCAGAAGCAAGACAAAATAGACATGGGTAAACGAAGAACTCCGGATGATATGGATATAGATGAGGCCCCTTTGGGCGATAAACGTTCTAAATCCCTCTCTAATACTAATGTGGATGACGATGTGGCGGACATTGCCGAGGAGCAAGGCCGTCGAGCCCAAAGAAAATTCTAAGCTACAACTGTCGTGGTTTGGGAAGCTCCTCGACAGTTGCTAAGTTGAAGAGGCTGACTAGGAAGCAACAACCTGATATTTTGTTTATTATGGAAACTAGTAAAGATGAGAAGGGGTGGCAAGAAATACAACACAAACTGGACTTTTCAGGAGGTTGTGGTGTGGCTGCTAGAAGTGACAGGTGGTGGAAAGCTGGGGGTCTTTGTTTATTATGGAATAATGATGTGTCCGTTGTTAAAGTCTCTTCAACTCTCCATCATATTGATGTTCTTGTGAGCAGTGGGGAAGGGGAAGATCGTTGGAGGTTGACGGGTTTTTATGGGTGGGCTGACAGTGATGACAGGTTCAAATCTTGGGATATGCTCAGAGATCTAAAGAACGGGTGTTCTCTACCCTGGGTATGTGTTGGAGACTTTAATCAGATTCTTTCAGGTGAAGAGAAGAGAGGGGGTAGACTCAGTAATGAATATCAAGCTTCGGAATTCAGAGAAGCCCTGGAATATTGTGGTCTTTTGAATTGTGGTTTTATTGGGTACCCTTTTACTTGGGAAAACAGTAGAGCAAATGAAGGCTTTATTGAAGAGACGCTTGACAGATGTGTTGCAAGTTGGGAGTGGAAATCTGCTTTTCCTCACCACCAAGTGTTTCATCTGGACAGGTGTGGTTCTGACCACCGCCCTGTCCTTCTATTTACAACGGGAAAAGAAGAGGATGATATTAGGTGGGGATGGTATTTCCGTGTAGAGCCCTTTTGGCTCAAGGACCCTGAGAGTGAGGCCATCATTAGAAGGGTTTGCTGCGATCATGCTAATGATAATCTCCAAGTTGTTCTCGTAAGTTGCAGATCAGAATTACTAAGTTGGAGCAAAAGGAAATTTGGGGATATAAGGAAGAAAATTGAGAAGGTTGAGAAGTTGCTCAAGACGTTTAAATACAAACCTAAGACAGAATTGGTTCCGGAGCAGAGAAGAGCGTTGGAAGCAGAGAGGAGTGAACTGATACAGCAGGAGGAGGAGCTGTGGAAACAACGATCTAGGGCTGATTGGTTGAAAGGAGGAGATAAAAACACGAAAATTTTCCATGCTAAGACTTCAGCTAGAAGGAAGAGGAATACCATTAAGCAACTGCGAGATGAGAATGGACGATTGTTTAAAGGGCAGAAGGATGTTTCCTTTTACATAAACGACCACTACAAATCCCTCTTCAAGAAAGGTATTGCTCCTGGGTCAGATTTAGTGCTCAATGCGTTAAAAAGGAAAGTAACTCCTACTATGAATGCTTTACTCCTTAAATCAGTGAGTAACGAGGAAATTAAAATTGCCCTAGATCAGATGAGCCCTACTAAAGCGCCAGGTTCGGATGGCTTCTCTGCAGGCTTCTTCCAGAAAAATTGGAATTCTATTGGACACAAAGTGATGGAGACGGTAAAAAATTTCTTTGACAATGGTGATCTCCCTATGGATCTGAACCACACCCTCATCGCCCTTATTCCTAAGGTGAAATCCCCTAACACGGCAAAAGATTTTAGACCTATTAGCCTATGCCGTGTGGTTTATAAAATTATTTCAAAAGTTTTGGCTAATAGGCTAAAGTTGATTATGGATGATCTGATTTCGGAAGAGCATAGCGCTTTTGTCCCGGGAAGGTTCATAACTTACAATGTTATTGTTGCCTTTGAATGTTTCCAGTTTATGAAGAGTAGAGAGAAGACAAAGGATGGTTTTATTTTTTGCGGCAAAATTGGATATGGCGAAGGCTTACGACCGTGTTGAATGGGATTTCTTAGAGAAAGTGATGAAAAAGCTTGGTTTTGATGATAGATGGATTGGTCTGATCATGAAATGTGTTACAACTGTCTCTTATTCTATATTGGTTAATGGCCATAAGTCTGAAAGCTTTACTCCCTCTCGTGGCTTAAGGCAGGGGGGTCCAATTTCACCATCTCCTATTTGCGGATGACTTTGTTATCTTTGGTAAAGCTATGTTACGAGAATGTGATCAACTCAGAGAGATCCTAAATATCTACACTAGAGAATCGGGACAGCAGGTGAATTTCTCTAAATCTGAGCTCTTCTTCAGCAAGAATGTAAGGATTAGCAGGAGGCTGGAAATTTGTGGCACCCTGGTTATCAAAGAAGTGGACAAACATTCTAAATACCTTGGACTTCCCACTGTAGTGGGAAGATCAAAGAAGGCCATCTTTGAGGAGATTAAGGAAAGGGTTCGGAAAAAATTCAAAGATTGGAAAAGCAGAACTATGTCACAAGCAGGGAAGGAAGTTTTGATTAAAGCGGTGGCTCAAGCCCAATGTCTTTACCCTATGTCTGTTTTTCATGTTCCTGAGGGTACTCTGAACGAAATTGAAAAGATGATTGCAAACTTTTGGTGGGGGCAGAAAGGAAAAGAATCAAAGATTCACTGGCTGCAGTGGGAGGAGCTCTGTGACGATAAGGAGGACGGAGGTTTGGGTTTCAGGGACCTCAGATCTTTTAATTATGCGATGCTTGGCAAACAGGTGTGGAATGTGCTTTCTAGACCTCATTCGCTTATGACCAGAGTCCTAAAAGCCCGCTATTTCCCTAAAACTGATATTCGTGAGGCTAAGGTTGGATATCAACCAAGCTACATTTGGAAAGCATAATGGGGGCGAAAGAGAAGATTGTTGAGGGTTTCAGATGGAGGGTCGGTAATGGGGAATCGATTAGCATATGGAAGGATGAATGGATCCTTGGGAAGACCTTTTACCAGGCTGATCCTTTTCCTATGGGGGAGGTCTCGAATGATCATGTTTGTGATCTTATTGATACAGGTGAAGGTGGTTGGGAGGGTGAAAGGCTGAAAGAGCGGTTTTCTATCTGTGACCAATTACTTATCTCTAACATTCCCCTTCAAACTCCCCTTGGAACAGATACTAGGGTGTGGAAGGCTTCGGAGAATGGGGCTTATTCGGTCAAATCAGCCTACTACTTCATTCGGAATAATCGTAATTAATCCATGGTTCGCATCCACAACAACAATCCAGACGATTCTGAGGTATGGAAACTCCTATGGAAGCTCAACATTCAGTCTAAAGTTCGAATCTTCCTATGGAGAGTGTGCAAAATGATCTTACCTGTGGGTGTCCACATTGAAGACTGGATCGAGAATGTTGCCACTGAGTGTCCCTTCTGCAATCTCCCAGAGTCTCAAATGCACGCGCTAAGGGAATGTGACTGGATTCGTAGGCGATGTAAAGGCTGCGAGGAAAAGGACCTTTTTGAGCAAGGTGAAGGAAAATTCAGTTTTGACTGGATTGGAAACATTCTAAAAAACTTCATTGAGGAAAGAGTTTAGAAGTTCAGTGTATTACTATGGTACCTGTTGAAAGAACGCTGCAACCACAAGTTTAATAACCGAAAACTGGAAGAGGACGAGATTGTCCCACGATCCTTGGGGTGGCTGTCGTCGTATCAGGCTGCTCAATCTCCCCTGGATCTTAATTCGTCGGTGTGTCCTCCCATCCCTAGATCTGCGCAGGAGTCCCGATGGTCTCCTCCTCCTGAGGGGGTCTACAAGATGAATATTGATGCTGGAACTCTGCAACCTCAAGGAATCGGCCTGGGTTTGTTGGAGCTATGACGAAGAAGGAGAAGGGTGCGTGCAGGCCAATAGAAGCGGAAGCAAAAGCAATGATTATGGGGCTACGAGAAGCTAATCGTCGATCGATAAGCCCTTTGATTGTCGAATCTGATTGCCAGATGCTTGTTAATTTGCTGAAGAGCGCAGAAAAGGATTTCACGGAGCTGGGAATATGGTGTGATGAGCTGAAGAAAATGGCGAGGGTTAATGAATCTATGTCAAACTGTAAAGTCAGGTGGGTGTTTTCGTCCAGAAAGACCAACTCAGTGGCCCACTGGTTGGCTCATGCTAGGTCGGGTTGGAACAATCAGTTGGTTTGGGTGGGGAATCCTCCTCTTTCTCTTTGAGGTTTAATCGAGGCCGATCTGGGCCATGGTCCGGTGGGACTGGGTTGATTTCATTTTAATAATATTCAGCAGGTTTCCTATAAAAAATAAAATAAATAGTACACAAGTTAAATAAGTAAATCCTACACAATTAGGGTTTCATAAGTACCATTTGAATTTTAAATTTGGGATTGCAATCATCAATATATTTGAACGATTCACAATATATGACATTCCTAGAAACCTAATTAGTATACAAGTTAAACAAGTAATTACACCTGTTTGCACCCTTAGTTCTTATCCGTTTGCGGCTAGTAGTCGTGTATTTTTGCCCCATTTTACGCTGGGTTGTGCAACTTTGTCATATTTCAAGTCCCAGACGTCGAAGGAAAGGCTAAGCACGAGATTAGGGGCGTTTGGAGGTCATTCGGTCGAGCTGGGGGCAAAACACGGGCAGGAGGCCTGAAGAACACGGCTGTGTACACAAACAAGCATGCCAGTGTTTTTATGTGCGAGAGCTGAACTGATGGAAAAGCAAAACACGGGCTGGCCTAAAGAAAAACACGGTTGTGTCCATATTTAGGCACGACCGTGTTTTGGCCGACGTGGGCGTGTTTTTAACACGTGGCAAGGGCACGGACAGGCAAAAGCAAAACACGGCCGTGTCCTCGACCGTGTTTTGCCCATAATCGGGGTTTTGAGGCAGATTGAAGCCAAAGGAAAGGTGGAGCTGGGTTTTGGATCCCAAACACCCAAGGGAAGAACCAAAGAGAGAAAGGGCGATTTGAGGGCATTCTTGGAGTGGAATTGGAGGATTTCTTCGCCTTGGAAGCTCTAGGAACAAGCCCGGACTTGAAGACTGATCATCTGAAGATTCTTACTGCAGTCTCTCTCTTCTCTATGGAGTAACTTTCCTTCACTTAGGTTTTGAGGAACCCTAGCTATGTTTGTTTGATTGGATGATTGTATGAGTACTCTTA